GTTCAGCAGTGTGCCATGCTCAGGGTGTGTAGGGCTGTGTGTGTTCAGCGGTGTGCCATGCTCAGGGTGTGTAGGGCCGTGTGTGTTCAGTGGTGTGCCACGCTCAGGGTGTAGTAAGGCTGTACTCGTGTGTGCAGGGCTGTGCATGGGGCCACGGAGTGTGAGGCTCGGGGTGTGTAGGGCGGTGTGTATATTCAGCGGTGTGCCATGCCGCGTGTGTAGGGCGATGGTGTGCCAAGCTCGGGGGTGCAGGGCTCGGTCCGTGTGTGTCGGTGCCGTGCGGGGCTGTCCGCGGCGCTCTGTGGAGGGGCGGTGGTGCGTGGAGCCGCGGTGCGGTGCCGCTCTGCCCGCGGTGCGGTGTCGCTCTGCCCGCGGTGCGGTGTCGCTCTGCCCGCGGTGCGGTGTCGCTGTCCCCCGGGGGTGGCACGGACCCGTCCCGGCCGCTGCGCGCCGCTCGGTTCGAGGGTGGGACCGGCTCCGGGCTGTCCCTACGGGCACCGCTCGGTCCCGCCCCGCCTCCACCCGGCCCCGCTCGGCGGCCGGGGCGTGGCCGAGCCCGGGRGAGGCGGGAGGGAGCCTCAGCCTCGCCGGGGGAGCTCCGCGGCCGCTCCCTGCCGCGGCGGATCCGAGGGGGTTAAGGCGCTCCCCGTGGCGGCCCGGGGCGGGCTCCGCATCCCGCCTCCCGTATCCCGTATCCCGCCTCCCGCGCCGGAGCGGGCACGGGCACGGGCACACACACACACACACACATACGCACACGCCCGCACACACACGCTCTCACACACACACGCGCAGGCGATGGCTGCGGGGCGCGGGCTCGCTTCTCCCCGAGATGATGTCAAGAGCCCGGGAGAAGGAGGAGGAGGAGGACGGTTGCTCTTTTTCTTAACGGCTTTGTTCTAAAACCATCCTAAATAAAGAAGCCCCCGCCCCGACCGCCGGGGTAGCAGCCGTGAAAGTACCCTTTCATTTTCCCCTCCTTTTTGCCTCTTTTCCTCCTTTTTTTTTT